TTAAAACACTGAAAAGGCGTCGTAAATGTACTTTGTAAAAGATAGAGAATGAATTACTTTTTAACTGGTACATTTTCCTGAATATCCCCAAAGCTATGTTAGCCGACCGGGCAAGAACGTGTTGTTGGAATGCACACCTTCCTGTGTAATCTGCCCAGTGAGGAGATCACCCGTCATTGGTCCTGAGGGTTTCATCTGTCCTGGATTCCCTGTGTTTCTAGTTCCTGTCTGTACCAGTGCACATCCTCTGGTCTAGCGGGATTTGTAAGGTAGAATTGGGGTCGTGATAGTGGTGGGGAGGAAGCATTAAAGAACTAGAGGAAAGTTGTATGTTTCATTGGTGCAGAGCCCCGTTCTTACAGAGTTCCTGGACCTACCCAACCTTAGAAGCATGTGTCTATCGGGCCAGATGATATGTTTCATTACTCTGTTTGTGGTGGGTTTATTGAGACATCGGGGAGTTTATTTGAAGAGTGGATTTCACCAAAAAGAATGGGAAGCACAGAGCAGAGTCCGCTGGGGAGATGAGCTCCCCTTCCCTTCTTCATTAAGAACTACATTTTAGTTTGGAAAGAATGAGGACAGCTGTCCTTTTGGGGAAGGTCAAAGCTACTGCAATCTGTTAAGATCCTGGAAATCACCTACTGTGCATCAGGTTGATAGGCGTCGTCTTGTCCAGCTTACAGGTTTGTGTGTATTTAGCTTCCTGCAGCTGACAGTAGAATATCCAACCATATCCCCTCCAAATGAAGTCTGTAAAGGTTTCTCTGAATGACTGAGGAATATATGTACCTGTTAAGATGTTCTTTTTTTGCATTTTTCCTCTTGAAAGGAAAGAAAATCAACATCTTAATATTTGTCTTCTTTTGCTGGATTTTAAACTGAAAAACTAAAAGTAGAATGAAAGGAAATATCTATATATTGCTCTGTACTAAGTTTTAGTATCTTAAGAAGCCAGTCTTTAAATATTATTTGCTAAGTGGGTTTTCAATAAACATCCCCTGTAATTCCAAGTCGCTTCTCTCTAAAGGGCTGTAATTTTAACCTGGGCCACATGCTGAGGGTCTTAGCCTTTCATCCGGAGCACAGGACTTGCGCTTCCACTAAAATAACCGTGGGCGTCGGCTCCCTTCATCTAGAGCAGTGGTTCTCTACCTTCCTCAGGCCGCCACCCTTTCATATAGTTCCTCATGTTGTGGTGACCCCCAACCATGACATTATTTTCGTTGCTACTCCATAATGGTACTTTTGCTACTGTTAGGGATCGTCATGTAAGTATCTGATATGCAGGATATACTTTCATTGTTTCAAATTGAACACAAACATAATTAAAGCATAGTGATTAATCACAAAACAACATTTAATTATATATTGTGAAATATTTATATGTTTTCCAATGGTCTTAAGTGACCCCTGTGAAAGGGTCCTTCGACCCCCACCCCCCACCAAAGAGGTCGCGACCCACAGGTTGAGAACCGCTGATGTAGGTGGAGGTTTCCACCTTTCTAATTGACTGCCTGGGGAGTATCTTCACTTTCAGCTTCCAATTCAGCTGTCCTCCAGCAGCGCCCTTCCCTGTTCAGCTTTTACTTCCTCCAGGGGCACTTAGTTACCACTTCCTTTGTGCTTTCTTAAGAGGCCCCCAGGGTACAGTGGTACACAGGGCTTGGCTACTAACCCAGGGGTCCCCATATCAAACTGCCACGCCTGCTTCTGGTGGTGCTCCCGGTGGCACGCCGGTTAAGTGCAAACAGACTGGTTGGTGGTTCCAACCTCCCAGTCCCTCCACAGGAAGGGGGTGGCAGGCCTGTGAACCCCTAGGGGGCAATAAAACCCTCGCTATGAGTCGGCATCAATTCCATCACAGTAGGGGGTATTTTTCCCTCCCCCTTTTCTGTTTCCTTAGCACTTTTTACAGGACTCTCTCAAACACTTGTATTGATGTCCATGTGAAACTTGTTTATAGGAACTTATGTATTGTCAATAATGAATATTCAATATGCATTTTGATTCACTAAATTCATCAGAAATGCTGCCATTCTAATAATACTTTCTTGCCTCGTAGGCCAAAATCCAAAAATCAAACCCAACACTGCCAGCAAGTCCATTCTGATGCATTGCCACCCTATAGGACAGGGTAAAAGTAGACGCTTACACTTTATCCTGGATTATGGGTTATAGTAGAAATGTTTTTAACTGCCAAGGGGTGCTGAGCACCCAGTAAGTAACTGCCCCTGTGGGTTTCTGAGACTGTAACTCTTTATAGGAGTAGAAAGCCCCTCTTTCTTCCGTGGAGCGGCTGGTGGTAATCAGCTTTGGGGAAATTCAATAAAACTAATACAGTTAAAAACATATACTCAGTAAATTAAATAAAATCTATTTCATGTGTTTTTGAATTCTGATATATTGTCTCTTTTAAAATTATGAAGATGTAAAATAAGTGTAGGTAAATAGGCCTTAACTAAAAAATCATGAATATTTGTTTTTTATTGTTGTTGTTATTTTACATAAGGTTCCAATCAGATATCTATTATTTTAAAGATCATTTGCTATTATGAATTACTTTTGTAAATAGCAACTGTGTAATAAATAATTACTATATAAACAATAAGTAATTTTAAACATAATCACCACTAATTGTTAGTGATAATTTACCACTAAATATTGTGCTTGTCTCACCGATGACTTGACCTTCCTAGGAGAGGGTTAGCGCAACCCTCGGCCCTACCCTCTCTACTTCAACTCTGGGATTAACTGGTAACTGTTTTTCTTAAAACACTGAAAAGGCGTCGTAAATGTACTTTGTAAAAGATAGAGAATGAATTACTTTTTAACTGGTACATTTTCCTGAATATCCCCAAAGCTATGTTAGCCGACCCGGCAAGAACGTGTTGTTGGAATGCACACCTTCCTGTGTAATCTGCCCAGTGAGGAGATCACCCGTCATCAGAACAATGTGATTTCCGCCCGTCATCAGAACAATGTGATTTCTTTGTTCTCCTTGGGTACAGGGCTCGCACCAGGCACTAACAGCTAGGGGGTTTGCCTTTCGTTTTTTTGCCACAATCCCAAATGGTAATGACGGCTAACATTCTTGAGCGGTGTGGTCATCTGTTCTAAATCACATCCAGTCATTTTTCCCTTTTCTACCTCTTACAAAACATGCCTTGCACAAATCAAAGCGGCCGAGGGGAGAGGACCATTTCCACCATCTGCTGCTTCTGGGCCACGGAGTTCAGCAGTCAGGATCCAGAGGATCCAAATGGATCGTGCGTAACCTGACGCATGGCTTGCCTGCTATGTCCGAGCACGTCTGACTTTCTCTTCTCTTGTTTTGGACAGCCGATTGAGAGTAGGTGGATCTCTTCATCTTGTGAAATCATTGCTTTCCGTAAAGCGTTGCTGAACCCCGTGACTGCGAGACAATTCCAGAGTTTTGTGGCTCTACAAGGAGATTTGTTGGAAAACGGGGTGCTCTTTTGGCAAGAAGTACAAAAATATAAGGTATTGTATGGAGGACTGGATAAAGCGCCCTTTTTCCAGAGAGGATAATCAGCTAACTTTATGGACATGATTTGTATAAGATATCTCAATTTTGATGTCATCTCCAACCCGATATGTAAATGTTGAGATGTTTATGGTTTCATGTCTAAATACATTTATTGTTTTATAGTGAACAGTAAGAAGAGCCCTGGAATAATAGTATAAGGGTTTCAAGATAATGTTTTATGATCTGATGAGAACCTTTCTCAAAAGATAACTTTCCATCCCAAAAGTCCAAAATTTATTTGGGCTACCATCCCTTTAGAGAAAAAAAATTGCTCAGCACACCCTGGTAGTTAAAAACTTCTGTACTATAATGCACAGTCCAGGATAAAGTGTAAGTATCTGCTTCTACAGCCTGCTACCCCACCTTACTCTAGCACTCCTTGGGGGGTGGGGGGGTGGTATTGCACACTTTGGAAAACACTGCTGTATACCATCTATTTGTAACTGTATACACATTGTACATACTGTACCCATTTCTTCTTAGAGATACCCATATTGTGTATTTTAATCAAGATTTCTGTACAAAAAGTCCTCCCAGACTTATTTACAATAGCACACAAAGACAGTACACCAATAGCGACGAAAAGGCTTTGCTATCAGAAAGAGTGGCCTAATGCTAACGAAGGAAGTCATCAGTGTGATGGGACTTCACAAAGTTTGTGGGAAAGTGGAATGAACTGGTATGGGAATTTTTCCACAGACGTGATTTTCAGATAAAGGTATTTGATGACATTATATAAAATATCTGCATCAGAGAGGAAGATAGCACTGCCCAGTTTACGTCATCTAGACTTGAATGCATGATCTAGAAATTATTGAGAGTAGCTATTATTTTCTACCAAAATGCTTCTAGGATTCAGAGCAACCTTTACTGGTGTGTTAGTCTGGGTAGACTAGAGAAACAAATTCATGGACACTCATGTGTGTATAAGAGTGAGTTTTATATAAAGGGTAATTGTAATTAAGAAAGCATCCTAACCCAGTCCAGTCCAAGCTCCTAAGTCTAATATTAGCCCATATGTCCAATACCAATCTATAAAGTCCTCTTCAGACTCACGAAACACATGCAATGACGCCGAATGCAGGACAATCACAGGCCAGTGGGTAGAAAGTCTTTGGATCCAGTGGCATTGTAAGCATCTCAGTGTGGGCAGGGGTTTCCACGTGGCTTCTACAACTCCCGGGGCTGCATCAGGGTAGGTCCATGTGGCTTCTCCTCAGGGATCTTGCAGGAAGCGAGCAGAGAGAGAGTGGTCTCTGACCTCCAGGGAGAAAATACAGGAGTTCCCAGAATTCTCAGAAGGCCATGCCCACACAGAGGCCTCATTGGCTATGACCCAATTGACAGACTGGACTCTACCCCTTCACTCTTAATCCTCTAAAGTCCCAAATTGACACCAGATTATGTAACTACCATAACTTGCAAGGCATCCTGTCCTATCTCAGTAAACATACACTCACTCCTCACTATTGACACGTTTAAGTTCCAATGGCCAGGTTGCTCTATGAAAATTGACATTATCCAAAAGTGGAGGATGACCACATCAGATCACAAATTACATGACTGCCAAACCACTGAGAATCATGGTCCAGCCAAGCTGACACATAACCTTAACCATCACAGTCAACATTACTCTTGCTTCTCACCTCAGCATCTGTACTCCCAGATGTATGTTCATGCACCAAATAGTTGGATAGTCAATTTTTTGCTCTTGTTATAAATGTTTAACATTGAATAAGAAAGTAAGAACAGCTACATATGCAACATATTTGCCTATACATAAATATATAGGCAATTGTTGATTATAGGCAGGCAGAGCTATGTTTAGGCTAATAGGAATAGGATTCAGTATAACCCAAGGAGCCCACTGGAGTAGTGCGTTACAGGCCAGGAGTTCAAAACACCAAACCACTGAGAATTGGTTGAGCCAGATTTCAAGCCTCGGAAACCCACCGGGCCCATTCTACTCTGCCCTGTAGGGTCACTGTGAGTCAGAATAGACTAGATGACCGTGGGCTTTTATTAAGTCTAGCCCTTCTGGTACAAGCCTCTTGTCTGATGGCTAGCTCAGTAGAGGAAATGAGATAGGCTTGTAAACTAGGCTTTCCCAAGGATAGATTCAGGCACAGTCAGCTCTTGGTTTGGGGTTCTCCATCACAGCTGTCCTTTTTCTTCATTGTCTTCTCCAGTAGAGCAGAAAGGGCACATCATGCCAGGTAACTATTTAAAAATCATGGTGTAGAGGCAAATTTGCTCATTCCACAAGCATTGGATTTATAATCGAATGTGCCCGGTGTTGTGTTAAAGTATAGAAATAAAAACTAACGTGACACTTTTTTATACCTCAAGGAAGACGCAGACCTTAAAAATGTTGGGAAACAGTGATCCACGCTCTAACTATTCACACGAATAATAGCAAAGTCAGGGCTGTTAGAAGTTCCCGGAATTCTCAGGAGAAGGCCATGCCCACACAGAGGCCTCATTGGTTATATCTTGATTGACAGGCCAGACTCCACCCCTTCACTCGTAATCCTTTCAAATGGACACCAGATGATGTAACAACCACATGGTCTCAAACTGCTGACATTAGGGTTAGCAGCCCCACATGCAATGACTACGCCACCAGCGCCCCTTTTTCTGTGGAGGTGATTGTTGCATTGAGTAGAAAGTGCCACCTTATTTGGAACAGTCACATTGTAACATTTACATCAGTGTTGTTTTTTGCTGTTGTTTTGGTTTTTGTTTTAAAGCATAACCGATGCCAAACAGTATGTAACCTTTCGCATGGCAGTCACTAGAATTTTTCTTTCTTTTCTTGACCCCATAAGACGGCGACGGCACTGTGCAGAATACAGCTCATTCCTATTCATAGCTACCCCGTAGGGGAGAGTTTCTGCGATGACATCCTCACAACAGCCAGCCTCATCTTCCTCCCTCGGAGCGGCTGATGGGGTTGGAACCACCAACCTTGTGGTTAACAATCCCATGCCTAGCTCACGGTGCCACCTGGGCTCCTTGTCTAGATTACCAAAAGCCAACCCAGCGCAATGCCATCGAGTCAATTCTGACTCATAGCATGACCTCTAGACAAGGTAGAACTGCCGCCCCCACCTCCACCCCCACCTACCTCAGCCGTGCGGTTTCAAGATGGTAGAAAACCTTCTCTTTCTCCCGTGGAGCAGCTGGTGGTGTGGGAACTGCTTCCCTTGCAGTTGGCAGCTCAAAGCGTAACTACTAGTGGGCGCTTCATCAGTGTTGACTCATTTCTGACTTGGAGTGAGAAACTTTCAAATAGCTTTGCTTTCCAGTGACAAAGAACAATGACGCTGACAGGGAAATATCATCATTCAAGCCAAGCTACCTGTTCGCTTTTTTTTTTTAAGTGGTGACATGGTATCTGTGACATAAAAATGGAGCCCCTTTAACATATGCTCATTATCTTTAAGTTCTTAGAACTTAGGAGGATCATGTGAATGGGTGGCTAGGGCAACACAGACATCCCTCATCCCTCCTGTGCTGCTCATCCCACCTCAGTTGCCCATAGACGCAGTTCTGGCTGGCAAAGCTCTCCTCCACTTTTAAGCTGAAAGAGCGCTTACCCAGGACCATCTCAGCGGGTGGACTGACACTGTGGCTGCAGCAATGGGCTCAGGCATAGGGACAATTGGAAGGGTGGCACAGGACGTGCAGGAAGGGCCAGTGTTTCCTTCTGTTGTGCCTAGGGTCGCTATGGGTGAGAACCAACTCCGGGGTACCTAACAGCAAGACTGTCACCGCACCATCTTGTTGAAGCTGCCTCAGCGACCCTGCCGGGCAGAGCAGGACTACTCCCTAGACTGTCTGAGGTGGTACATTTGGACAGAGGCAGATTGCCTCATCCTGCTCCCAGCAGCTGCTGGTTCAAACTGACCACCTGTCAGCAGCCCAGTGCCCAACCCACCATGCCACCTGGGTTAACGACCCCGAATCAGAACCATGTGTTTTCACACTTGATCCTCCACTAAAGACTGAACCTTTTAAAGGTCAGGTCTGTATTTCGGAGCCGAGGTTACTATCTGACATATTGCAGAGAACCTCACATATATTTGTTAAATGACTCAAAACAGATATGAAAGCTGTTTCTTTGCCTGGAAAAAAACACACACACACACACCCGGAATGAAATAGGTTTCAGCCTGTACTTCTGTAAGTTCTATGTACCCAAGTGTTAGGTTTGATAACCCTAAGCACAGGGGACAAAAACAGTAAACAAACAGGGTTCTTTCTTCCCTCCTGACTTGTCACCCTCAGGAGGGTACCTAGTTTGAAAATATGTACATGCATTGAAACACACATTGACCCCGTTGCATAAAGTGCTCTAAGTAGTGCGCCACTCATGCACCTTCTCTCTCCCTTCCTCCTTCTTCAGGACCTGTGCCATTCTCATTGTGAGGAGTCCGTCATCCAGAAGAAGATCACAACAATTATCAACTGCTTTATTAATTCCACCATTCCCCCATCTTTACAAATTGACATTCCAATTGAGCAAGCCCAGAAGATTATTGAACACAGGAAGGAGTTAGGACCATATATATTTAGAGAGGCTCAGGTAAGAGATCCAGGACACCCTAGTAGCAGAGTGGGTTATGCATTGGTGTGCTAACTGCAAGGTCAGGAGTTCAAATCCACCAGCCACTTCTCAGGAGAAAGATGAGACAGTCTGCTTCTATGAAAATTTATAGCCTCTGAAATCCAAAGGGGGCCAGTTTACTCTGACAGGAAAGCAATTTGATGGCAGGGGAGGTAAGTAAAAGATCAAGGGGCAAAAAAATAAAAGAAAAAGATCAAAGGGCATGACTCAACGTTTTAAACAATAGATTGATAATGTAGATATCTTTTAAAACTCTTTGCCTTCGTGTTTGACAAGGTCCCAATCCTTCTACTTCTGGGATGTATTCTACCAAATTAAGACTTTGCCACATAGACCCCTGAAATAGAAGACACAGGTAACTCGTATTTGGATAACCATAGTACACAGCAAGTAAAACTACTTAAATACTACAGTGGGGCTTTCTGTGATTGTTGATTTTTGTTTCCAACTTACAAAGCTCCGGCTTCCTTTTTCACCATCCATAGTGCCTTTTGAAATCTCTGCTAGCTTAAAAATATGTAAAATATGTAGGCCTCGAGATTTGTGTATTTTTAAAGATTGAAACATTCACATAGCTCATAAAATAAGTGAGAGGAGATGTAAGTCCTCGACCCGCATTAAGTACACAAGCTTGTGAAAAGAAAGTCAGGCCTGTTCACTCACTCAAGTTACTTCTTTTTAAGATAAATAATAGAAAACAGTGACTTGGTGAATATAATTTATTTGCATTTTGAAAAGCCTTTTAGTGATGCTGTTCCTAAAAACTGATTAAGAAAAATAAATTATAATAGGGGTAGTAGGGAAGGCCGTGTCATGAGCTAAGTGATAAGAAACAGAGTTTTAGGGTGTGACTGCCCTAGAGTGTGGAAAAGGCCATTAGGCCTTCCTGTCCAGTTGGGAGCCAGCTGTGTTCGACATCCTCAAAGGGACTGAAAATGGACTCACCACCCAAATGGTGTCTTGAAATAGGCGAAGATGGAGTAGAATGGTGGAGGATGTGCTAGAGAGCCACAGAGAAAACACGGTGCCAGAACTGTAGCATGTGTACATAGACAGACGTCGGAGACCATCGTTTAGCCCCGGCCCTCCTGACAAGCAGGCCAAGCTGGTTCCCAGGCAGTAAGACCTTGACTCTGACCGTGAAGGTCTGGAGTCCATCCAGGACTGGGGCGTACCTGGGTTGGTCTTGGCCCACTCCCCAGAGATCGCAGCCAGTGAGGTCTATTGGAGTCCTGTAGCCTATAGCTTCTAACCCCTCCTGTGCTTCCCGTGTCAGAGAATGACATCACCTCCTTCCCAGGTGTGCAAGCCAGAGGGCTGGCTGCCATCTCCATGTTTTCTTCTTCCTCATTCCCCTCTCTCCATTTCTCATCCATCCTGGAAACTTCCACGTGTCTCCTGCTTGTCTGGCATTCCTAACACTTAGCCCCAAACGCCACGCTGCCACCACCACAGGTGAGAGCCGCGACATTTCTCTCGTTGATTACCCACCCCACGAGTGCCCCCACTTCTCAGCAATCTACAAATCACTCCCGCCACCACAGACAGCCCACTGCTTTTCAAAGTCTATATTGGATCACGCCACATCACTGCTTCAAATATTTCATTGGCTAGAGGGTAGACAGACATTCATTTTGGTGAAGGGAAGACAATATACAGTAAGAGAGAGGCTGGCCAAAAAAAGAAAAAGATGGAGGCAGGGGAAGACACTGGGAGGTTTGCAAGAGTTAGAGGCAACGGAGATAAATACTGTGGTATACACACTCCTGCAATCACTGTGCTCTATGAGTAGATACACGGATAGTATATGCCTTTGTTACAAATATATCCATGAATGTGGTGAAGCAGATAAAGGGAAAGTCATGAAAACTTCTTAGTCATAACCAAATACAATAGTACTAATGATGCACATGTTTAATTAAAAAAATAATTTTATTGGGGGCTCGTACAGCCCTTATCACAATCCATATATTCCACATTTAATTTTTATAGATAAAAAAATTTTAAAATATTTTTCTCAATATCTCCCCAGCACCTCAGAATGAAGTCCACTCTAACCATATACCATCCCTGCCATCTCTGAGGGGCTTTACAAACTTTGTGGGCAATGGAATTAAACGAGGATGGAACCTCCCCATGCACTTGTTTGAAATGCCCTCATCGATGCAGTCACCTTGAGATATTTGAAGCTCTCCACGTGGCCCTTCTCCCTTCCCTCCTGAGCTCTTTGCAGTCTTAGGTGCGCTCCCTTGTGCCTTTGTAATACAAGACCCTGCATTTGTCTGTTACTACACTCGACACTCTGCCACACTAACTGGAAGGTGATTGCGCTCATGGCTGACCTTCCCATTGGAGCATAAGCTCTTTGAAGGCAGGGAGAGTTTCTAAGTTATTTGTGTGCCCTAATGCCTAGCACAGAGTAGGCATCCGTTAAACCTTTTTGAACAGAAGAATGAGTGCTGCAAGAAGAAATCTACCATGATGGGAAGGAATAAGATTAAACTGGAAATGAGAACTACCATACATACTTGTGTATAAGCCGAGTTTTCCAACACATTTTTAATGCAGTTTTGTGGTAAAATTAGATGCCTAGACTTATATTCGGGTCAGCTTATACTCGAGTATATATGGTAAGTTGAGTGGAAAACTGAGCAATAAGTTAGCAGCAGCTGCTTCTGTTAGCATGTGGTCCCTGTGGCCCCACCTTGCCACCACCCTCCCTCCTTCCCAACAGCATGAAAGGTTTTGTCCTATAAGGTAAAGTTTACCAAACCACTTACTATGCCAGCTGTGACCACCTCTTTTTAATGCATACTAGAGACCACTGCCCATCTGATGGTGGTGTACAGACTCTGTAGTTATGAAAATGTTTTGTAATCCACAACTTGGCCATTGTTAGAATCTCAGTTTTCAGGAGTAGGATTATTTTGTGTCTTGCATTGAACAATTGTGTCCTTATTGGACGGCTCTTACTGGAAGGGCTTCCAGATGGCAATATGTGAGAGCCGGGGATGGGCCGGGTCCGGGAGAACCGAGAAGTCTGGCCATTTGGTACAGGGAGAAGGCAGAGTATTTAAAGTTCAGAGTAAAAGCTGTTGGGAATGGATTCCCTGGTGAGGTGCATGGTGAGTAAATCTACATGCGCGGCAGCCTTGAGGTCTGCACTTCATCAAAGAAACGATCTCTGGCTTTTCAACTTTCGTAGCCCGCGGAGGCTGCAGAACTCACGGAGAGAACAACACCCTTTTAAAGGGAGGAAATAATTTCAGAATTACGCCCAGCATTCTCGTCCTGGAAAGACGGATAGTGAGACCCGACGGTCCAGGGCTCTGTTTATTACTGCAGCATTTATTTGAAAATAATTCCTCTTTCCCCCTATGCCTTGGCTTGGAGCCTAATGGGATGGCTCATTTTCTCCAGGGCATTAGGAAAAAGCCATTCCTAGCAGCAAGATATTGGACTTGTTGATGTGATGTGGCAAGTCCGAGCTTCTTGGAAGTGTGCCTCGGGCACTAATGGGCAGAACTTGGCTCAGGACTCTGAGCAGCCCTTCTTATCTCTGGAAGTATCACAATTAATCACTTACTGTAGAGTGTCCTCCTAGAAAGCATTTGTCCAGGACCCTGTTCTACTTTTAAAATGCTACTTTTCTTGCTCTCAGATAAAAGGGAGATTATATCATTGAAAAGTTACTCAAGATTTATTATTAGATCTGCTGTTTCGTTTAAGAGCTTTCCAGAGGCAAAATGGCATTTCCTTTCTCAGAAAGAAAGGAAAAGGGGGTGGGGGCTCCCCTTGATGCACTGAATATTTGGAATACTTGCCTGAAACAACAGAGTATGTGGCAGATCAGGCAGCATGGGTCTTAAAAGAAAACATAAATTTCTTATTTAAAAAGATCTAATGGAGTCTTTATTAATACAGTCGATTGGTTAGGGAATCATAAAGAGTTAAGTGTACTTCAATGTGTACGGTTTTTTCCTGTTTCTTAAGGAAAGACTTCGCATCGGTAATAAAAAGCACGGGTGATAAGCTTGTGCTGAGTTCCATGATACCAAGATGTCTGGAGACTAAGTTTGGAGGAAACATGCTGAATATTAAAGACAGGATTGTTAATCCATTACTATGGCGAATTAGGTTTAAATTGGTACATTGGTATAGAGTTGTAACCTGAGACCCACTTTGTTTTCTGTGCAGATGACAATTTTTGGGGTTCTGTTTAAATACTGGCCTCGTTTTTGCGAGTTCAGGAAGAACCTAACTGATGAAAAGATTATGAGCGTGTTAGAGAGAAGGCAATACAAGAGAAAGAAATTTCCAGGCTTGGAAGACGAAAAATTTGTCAAGGTGAGACAAGACTCATTTTAGGGTTTACGGAGCCATGTTAAAGGTATGTAATTACGTGTGACTGTCAGCGGATCTGGGCGGGGGAAGAGACAGGAAGAAGCTGTGGGACAGGGTGTAGTGGTGTTAAGACTTGCAGGGCAGCACCTTCAGACTTGCTGCTGGATTCGTCACAGCTCATCTCACGGGTCCCCTCCAAGGGGAGCCTTCCTCGCCCCCCCAGGGGCCTGGGCAGCCCCTTGGTGTGTGTCCTGGGCAGTGACCATCCTACCTCCCGTGTAGGTAACTGCATCAGGGTGACTAAAGGCTACCTGTCACCTTCTATCGCACCTCAACTGCGATCCTCAGGACAGTATCTATTTCTCACAAGCACCTACCCCCGTGCCCAGCACATAGTCAATGCACCATTGGTGGCCATTGTCCATTGACTGGATGGGGGAGGGAATGGTATTTTCAACGCAGAAATTACGGAAGGACACACGGGCAGTGAAAGTTGTAAATGGGAGCTATGAAATGGCCAGCCTGCCTCGGTCCGTCTGTTAGTCTCTCCGTTTAGCCATCCATTCGTGCTTCTCTCTTCCTATTCACTTACTTGGGTGGAGGAGTAATTTCTCCCCCCATAATGTATTTTGCTTTACATTTAAGATTATGGCTACTCTATTTTAAAAATTACATGTAAAGATCAATATGCAAAAAGTGATATAGCAAACACTCCTATTTGCACAGATCAGAATCGACACTAGTAACCTTTTGCCTCGTGTGCTGGCTGGCTTGTTTTCCCTGAAGGAATAAAAGATTCAAAATGGAGCAAAGTCTCTTTGAGCCCTGCCCTGAGTTTTACTACCCTCTCTTTTTCCCAAGAGCAACTTTTTAAGTTTCAGATACAGTCTTCCAGCACTTTTTAAAAGTAGATTTCTATAAACATGTGCGTTCATAAATATTATAGGACTTACATACATTAAATAAGCATTCAACTTACATAAATGTACCATTTATGAACTATATTTTTATACAGCTTGCTTTTTACATTGAATATTTTTAAAATTCTACCAACATTGATATATTTAGATTTACTTTGTTCACATTAATTGCTTCATACTACTGTTCCACCATGTGAATAATACACAATTTTCCTATTGTGAGTTATTTTGTTTTCTTACAAAAAGCACTTCAGACAGCATTGTAAGAAATGTGCCCAAAGGATCTACATAGAACCCCCTCCCTGGGGGTCGGACAACAGAAAAGTAGACAGTGTAAAACACGACAAAATAAGAATTTATAAATTACAAAATAAGAATTTATAAATTATCAAGGGTTCATGAAGGAGAGGGGACAGGGAGGGAGAGGAAAAATGAGGAGGTCATACCAAGGGCTCAAGTAGAAAGCAAATGTTTTTTTGTTTTTTAAATCATTTTATTGGGGGCTCATTTAACTCTTATCACAATCCATCCATCCATCCATTGTATGTCAAGCACATTTGTACATTTGTTGCCCTCATCATTCTCAAAACATTTGCTTTCTACTTGAGCCCTTCATATCAGCTCATTTTTTCTCCCTCCCTCTTCATTCCCCCATCCCCCATGAACCCTTCATAATTTATAAATTATTATTATTTTGTCATATCTTATACTGTCTGATGTCTCCCTTCACCCACTTTTCTGTTTTGTGACCCCCAGGGAGGAGGTTATATGTGGATCCTTATAATCGGTTCCCCCTTTCTACCCCACCTTTCCTCCACCCTCTGGTATGTCACTCTCACCACTGGTCCTGAAGGATCATCTGCCCTGGATTCCCTGTGTTTCCAGTTCCTATCTGTACCAGTGTACATCCTCTGGTCTAGCCGGATTTGTAAGGTAGAATTGGGATCATGATAGTGGGGTGGGGGGTGTGGTTGGAAGGGGGTCCCAGCCCCCCACTACTAATCATGGGTTCAATAGGCACAATTTTACGGCTGAGATATATAAAGATTACATTAAAATCATAGAGAGCATGAGAGATAGAAGAGAGATTCAAGTAATGGAGTCAGACACATTTCATGGTAGCAATCCTCACCTCAGCCTCACTTGGTGGTCCACGTGGAGAGAGAAGGAAGGGAAGGAGGACGAGGGGAAAGGGAACGGGAGGAGAGGGAGCCTACCAGAGGCCAAGGGAGAAGCCAAGAGAGAGATCTTTATTGCTAACCCAATTATTGCAATGCAAGCCCACTAATTACAGGTAAAGTCATACGTCACAGGAAGGGGTTGCACATAGGTTATACAGCAAGGCGAGAGGGACAATCTAGGGACATACAAGCAATAGGAATAGAAAGAGGAGGGATTGTCACATGGGGCTATACATGTGACAAGATGGGCAGATCCTAGATTCAGGACTACAGCCTAACTTTGGATGTAACTGAGCTGGTTTGATCTGTTCTCCATAGAAACCATTATCAGTAGGGTGTAAACCCCACCTACAGGAACCAAGCTAATGGTCAAAAGCCTTCAGGGAGTAGCCCATTGTCTTTAACAGCAGGGAGCAGGGCCTACGGTAGACTGGCGACTGATTGCCTTCAGGGAGGATGTCTCTATGTATCTGACCTCCCCCATATGTTGGCAAAAAAACCCTAATATTTGGCATGTCTTTGGGGGAGACAAAGCTGGGGGGAAGTCTCTTTATAATCTCACAGGGAGGAAGCATTTAAGAACTAGAGGACAGTTGAATGTTTCAGCGTTGCTACATTGTACCCTGATGGCTTGTCTCCTCCCTGCGACCCTTCTGTAAAGGGATGCCCAGTTGCCTACAGATGGGTCTTGGGTTCCCAATCTGCACTACCCCTCGCTCACAATGATATGAGTTTTTGTTCTTTGATGCCTGATACCTGATTCCTTCGACACCTTGTGGTCACACAGGCTGGTGTGCTTCTTCCATGTGGGCTTTGTTGCTTCTGAACTAGATGGCCATTGTTTACCTTCTAGTCTTTAAGACCCCAGACGCTGTATCTTTTGATAGCCGGTACCATCAGCTTTCTTCGCCACAGTTGCTTATATACACATTTGTCTTTAGCGATCGTGTCGGGAAGGTGAACATCATGGAATGCCATATTAATAGGATAAAGTGTTCTTGCATTGAGGGAGTACCTGAGTAGAGGCCCAATGTCCATCTGCTACCTTAATATTAAACCTATATATATGCACATAGATCTATTTCCCCATTATAATATATAAATATATTTATATATGTACATGCCTGTATTTAGACCTCTAAAAATGCCCTTTGCCTCCTAGTTCTTTCCTCTGTTTACTTTTTCTTTCCTCTTGTCCCACTATCATGACTATCATGCTCAGCTTTTGGGTTTCAGTAATTTCTCTTGGTTACATTGCCCTTATTCAATTCCTACCAGGCCTCTTACACCCTCCTCGCCACTGATTTTGGATCACTTGTTGTTCCCTTGTCCCTGGGTTGGTCAACTCCACCTCCTTTCCGCTGCCTCCCCCTTTTCCATGTCCCTCTGGAACCATTGTTTTCTCCTCCAGACTGTTCAGCCTATCTTATCTAGATGGACCTGCAGAGATAATAATATGCACACAAAAACAAGACATAGCAAAACAAAGTGACAAAAGAAAACAAAACCACAACAACAACAAAAAAACCAATGACAACATTATGGCTGATCCCATTACGAGACACGCCATCCCTTGATGGCCCTGGGCTCTAAGGGGGACAACGCTGGAGACTCAGTGTTGGGACTGGCCCAGACTGACCCTGAGACACCGAGGCAAACCACAAAAAGCGTGCAGCAAAGCAACCGTGGGAGCAGAGCAGAGAGCC